AAGAGCGTCAGATTCGTTATCCGAGCCCGAGTCTTCCTTATTTTCCAAGGTAAACCTGTTCAGTTCTGCAATTTTCTGTTAAAAGCAAAACACAGAAAACAAGATTAATTCTGTGGCTAAGCCCTCAGAGCAACTCCAAGCTGCTTCTGAGGCGTGGATCTGGCCAGCCTCCGGAGGAACATCTGCATGAAAACATTCTTCAGTGGGTTAGAATCTTTCAGGAAACTAAAAGGGCTTTTGACGTTATCACTGCTGTGCTCTCCAGGAGGTGATGCTCCTTCTGAACAGCTTAATTGTTTGCGTTTAACACAGAAGTGGGCCTTTGTCAAAGCACTGGATTCTAAGCACCAAGAGCCTGCTGTAGGATCACCACGGATGAGTTTGCTTTTGGTCCATTTGAAACCATCTCCGTTACCGCCTTGTGTCCACTACCCAAATCAGTTAGCCTTCACTAACGCGTTCTACAGGTTATGTTAACTGGACAAGAAAAAATACATCTATCTTGCAAAATATTTAACAGCACACTATCCTGTATTCCCCATATACCATATACCAAGTTTTACCCTTTTCAGTAAGAAAGCTTTAATTAAAAGACAGCGTGTTGGCATTTAATGAGACCGTCCTGCTGCTAATACAGTATCCGAAAGATAATTCTGTAATAACAATAGGACCAAGCAAGCTAATTGTCAGGCAGGCTGAGGTGAGAAATCTCCCTAAAACCATTTATTGGCAGCAATTGAAGCCATAAGATCACTAACAAGGGGAAGGTGTTGAAAGTCAAACCATAAATTTCCAATTGTGGTAGCGCAACATTATTTACCCTGGTGAGTTTTGAGGTCTGCCAGTTAGTCGGGATACAAGAATATGAAAACCTTTTGCCACACAGCAAGAATGGAAGAGTAAGCGAAGGAGAGGGAATACTACTACTACTAAAACAGAAGTCAACTTCCGTATTCTTCTCGGCACGTGCAAGCAATTAAACATTTTGTTAAGAAGCGCACCAAGAACAGACAGGACTATTTCACTGAACGGCTTACCAGAATTAGCGTGTCCATGACATCTTTGCATATCTGCAAACTGGTATCGCTTGTCACTTCCAGGAATAGGTCACGGGTGTCTTTTCTGATCTGTAAGAATTTCACAGGTAAAGCAGGTAAGGAATCGGAGTGTATTCACCCACGGTCACGTGGAACATTTCACTACACAAACCGAATGAAAGGCTTTCATTCAATTCAACCAGAGGCAAAGTACTGCCTTTCTTTACAAGGCAAAACCCATACTCTTGCCCTTCAATAAAGCTGCCTCTGCAAAGGCAGACTGGTGCCTTTGGAACAGCTTGCCAGAGCTTTACAGACTGACAAAGGTAAACATGTAACTCCGGGATCCATCTCAATCTGACAGCCTAGCAGAGAAGATTCAGGCTCTGAAGATTTATATTTGGAACGCAATCACAAGTTTCACAGAACTGCATGCATCTTTGAATGTGGAGTGAAATATCTCTCGGTAGAAAGAAATAGCGTTTAATTCCGATTAACATATTTCCACTAGCAGAGAGTACCTTTGTTTTCTCACTATTGGTTATTGGTGGGAAAGAAATCACAATGCCTTCGGCATCCACAAGACACGGGTAGTTATCTTTGCCATCCAGTAACTGGAGATACCTGCCAAGAAAAACAAAGAAGCAAAAAGCGAGCAACTGGAACAGCAGCTGGACACAATGGCAGAAAACAGTGACAAAAAGGAGCTAATGTGTTCCTGATCTACCATGTAGCAAGACCAGAAGTTGGAGCACTGAAGTTCAGCAAGACGGTACCATGGTGATACAGCTGAGGAAAGCCACCGGCTGCAGGAAGTGATGGGCCTGAACCGTAAAGTAACTCACATTTTAACATCCACGCTGTCAAACTCGACAGACATGCCTCTAGTGCTTTCAGAGATCCCACTGCTCCAACAGGAAAATCAGAGTCCGCTGTCTGATTCTTCCGGACAGCTTGCTTAATTTTCCCTCTTACTTCCTATGGCAATACACGGTTCCCCCATCGTGCGCTTGGCGAATTTCCCCATGCGGTATGAGCGCTGGAGACGGGCGGTGGTCTCTGCACGAGCAGTAAACAGAAGAGGGCAGTGCCACACTCTGCTGTATCGTTCATCTGCTACTACGTGCAGATTTACCCTGCCCCTGACGTGCTCAGTTTACTGAACTTGTAAATCCTTGCTTTGTGTACTGACGTGTTAAGGCAAATTGACGGTATCGGTCTTTTTTACAATACTTTAAACATATATATAATTATTAAATAATTTGGGATTATGCTACCAAAATTACTAAAAATAGTAAGGTGTTAGCTCACTCCTTAAAGACTGGACTGGATTAATAAACAAATTTTTCCTCCCTAAAATTAGTTTGATAGTTCTCTTCCTTATTGTCAGAAGTTACTTTTTTAGCTAGGTCTACTATATCCTTGTAGAGAACATATTCTTTAAGTAAGGATTAAGTAAGCATTCTGCTTCTCAATGTAAACTGCTTCACTGCTTTAGAAGCAAGAAAAATTACAGGTTTTCATAAAGGTTGGACTCGATGATCTTGAAGGTCTTTTCCAACCTAAACAATTCTATGATTCTATGAACGTGCACGACATTCCTCCTCCTTTCCTTTCTATTTGCTATTTTAAATGTATTTGCCACCTCTAAGAATAACCCACATGACAATAATTTACTCTTGATGCAGCTAGAAACAACAGAAGGCACTCATCAACCTCATTTCACTCCAGGTTACTCTTTATGTCTAACTGCAGCTCAGCGTTCTTCATCTCAACTCCTAGAAGCGCACGCTGGGTTTGTTAGCCCCATCACCATTACAGAACACGCTTCGTAATCGTTCAAGTGCGTTTCCTTCAGCACCGTTTTTCCTTATGAGTTACCAAAATTCACACAAAGGAAAACACAAAAGATCCATATACTGACTTGTGCAACCCAGAAACGTTCTGACGCTTCTTCTGTTTCCTCTGCTCCTCAGCTTCTAACTGCAGCTGACGGAGAAGATCCTTTGCCTTGATCTCCTTTCGACCCAGGGGTATTATCTACACCATAGAAGAAAACAAACGTTTTAGTTTAAGGGTGACTCAAAGGCTGGGGTGATTAAAACTCTCCTGTAAGCAAGACAATAATTAAAACCATACTTCTGTATGCTGTCATTCCTAACACCTTATTCGGTATGGAAATACACCTTCCATTTCACACGGACTACCACGACCATGTTGAGTTTAAATGTTTGCGTGAGCTACAACACCCAGCTGAAAAACAGGTTCATTCGCTCGTACTAAACCAGGCACGGGCAGTTCTCTTAGCCGGTTCCTTCACCGTCATTACTTACTGAATAATGTGAAAACCCGCTGTCTCATAACAGAAGCCACGTACAAAAGGCTCTGTAAGCCATCAGAAAAATGAAGAACTCATTCCTGAGGACCAGGCCACGTGCATAGAACAGTCAGAAACACAAGGTGTCTAGGGAGCAGAATGCAGCAAAAACTTTGGGTCAGCCCCAAAGAATCAGAATATCCAGACTGTTTGTTCGGTCCTCCAGCAGGATGGGGTCTGGAGGCAGGATATTAACGGACACACTGAAATAGGCCTAAATGAATAAGGATGACAAATTTGAGGTATCATTTTTATATTCTGGACTAAAGTTACAAGTACGGTCTAAGAACTTGCCACGCAAATGTACTGCAAGCTTTTTTTTTTTTTCCCCTCCCCTCTTCTTTGAAAGCAGCAACATAAACAACTCAAGACTGGGTAAATCAAGAGAACCTGAGTCGGTTTTAATTAGGTTACCTTGAAGGCTGCTGCCATTCAAGGTGCACACATAGGAACAAGCACCTGCCTTGCTGTATGACGCTCCAGGCACATCCTAACGTATACGGACCTCCAGGGAACATTAAGGTGGTAACACCACAACACAGCAGAAAGGACCAGCACTGAAACACCAATACCTCAGTCGCCCTAAGCAAAGGCACACATTGAGCAAGATCAGAACGTCTGGAGAGAAAAAAAAACCCCCTACGTCTGCTTTCTGTGATTACTTTTAAGTCCTCGGACAGATGCACTCGTAACTGGTCCAGGAGCATTACTAGGTAGCTCTGTGAGGCTTGTTCAAGCAGGCTTTGTTACAGCAGGATGGCAAGAAAGTTAGCACAGCTTCTAAATTAAAGTTCCTGGAGTTAGTTTTACTAGCACCTAGAGGGTAAGAAAAAAAACACTCTCCCTTCTACAGAGTTCCAGGAAGCAAAACGAAAAAAACTGGCAAGGCCCACCGATGCCACTGGCCCTACCTTCAGTTCATCAGGAGGCCGAACGTCGTATATCAGAGGACCTTTGATCAACTGCAAGTCGTGGGTGGCAATCGTGGCCGCTGTCCGCTTTTCACAGATGTCTTCATGCAGTTTAGTCTAAAACATAAAGAAGGCTATTAAAATATACCAAAGACACCAACAGGATTTATTCCTCCTAGAGTTCCCATTTTTCTGTATTTAGTGTTTTAGCACTATGGGCTCACTGAGTAACCCTTTCGCATGGAACGGAGCCCTTCTCTTCGCCTGCAAAATAACTGAATTACAAACCAAACATAAAGATAGCGAAGCACAGCACACAATGTGTTTCTCAACTGGGAGATAAACAGTTTTAAATCAGAAAACAATCACAAACACGTGAGTCTCGTGACCTGAAAGAAGCTAACACCTGCCATCTAACGGACAGGCGAGCAGCGTGCCAGGTGAAACTCTGTGGTTACGGTACCTTGGCAGGAAGGTTAGGCGCGCGAGACAGTTTTAGCTCAGATTAGGGAACCTGGAGCCAAACCAGGGTACTTCTAACATGTACATGGGTTTATTAATTGCTCTCAACAGGTTCCACAGCACCAACAAGCTGTCATTACAGAGGCGATGCAAATGCACGCGCGTTCATCGCCCTCTCACGGCAGTATCGGAGCTCCTACCGGGCTCTTTGCGAAATCCGTTTTTCCTTATTACGGACTGACCAGGCGGCACGCTGCTGGCAGAGGCCACGCTGCGCTGCCGTCCCGCCGCGCCCTCACTGCCTGCTAGGTGAAGAGCTCGCTCCAAGTTTCAGCGACTGTGCTGGAAGGAGCCTAGCATGCTCCATTTCCAGCACTGCTAGCAACATTCCCATTGCAAACGAGTAACGCGAGGCGGCAGCGACTACCTGCGCGGACAGGAACCTCTTCAGGGCGTTTCCCGGCTTTAAGTTCACTCCCTTCAGCACGCAGCACACGATGAAGGGTCGAACGTCTTTGACGCCCGGGCTCGCTTTGACCACCAAGGGCGCCGGGTTTTCGGAGACGTGCAGAACTCCGCTGTGGGGTGGCCCTAGGGCCGCTCTAGCCCCGCTGCTCGCCGCTCTACGGCCCAACTGAAGGCACGGCTCTAGGCCGTGTCCCTGCATTCCCCCCCGCCTTGGGAGGGCTTCTCTGGACGCTCACCGCCCCGTCTCTGTGGTAGGAGCCGCCGGCTGACCCG